TCCCCCAGTGTCCCCAGTTCCCCCCAGTGCCCCCAGTGTCCCCAGTTCCCACCAGTGTCCCCAGTGTCCCCAGTGTCCCCAGACCTGTTTGATGGCCAGCACTTTGTGCAGCACGGGCAATCCGTACGCTCCCGTCTTCCCGGAGCCCGTCCTGGCCTGGGCCAGCAGATCCCGGCCCTCCATGGCCAGCGGGATGGCCCGGGCCTGGATGGCCGTGGGGACTGACCAGCCCAGCTCGGCCACCGCCTGTGGGGACAGTGTCACTGTCACCTCAGTGTCACCCAGTGTCACCTCAGTGTCACCGAGTGTCACCGAGTGTCACCCTGTGTCACCCTGTGTCCCCCCAGGGACTGCCCAGCCCGGCCCTCCATGGCCAGCGGGATGGCCCGGGCCTGGATGGCCGTGGGGACTGACCAGCCCAGCTCGGCCACCGCCTGAGGGGACAGTGTCACTGTCACCCAGTGTCACCCAGTGTCACCGAGTGTCACCCAGTGTCACCTCAGGGTCACCCAGTGTCACCCCAGTGTCACCCAGTGTCACCCAGTGTCACCCAGTGTCACCTCAATGTCACCTCATGTGTCACCCAGTGCCACCCAGTGTCACCCAGTGTCACCTCAGGGTCACCCTGTGTCACCCAGTGTCACCCAGTGTCACCCAGTGTCACCAAGTGTCACCCAGTGTCACCTCAGTGTCACCTCATGTGTCACCCAGTGTCACCTCAGGGTCACCCAGTGTCACCCCAGTGTCACCCAGTGTCACCCAGTGTCACTTCAGTGTCACCTCAGTGTCACCTCATGTGTCACCCAGTGTCACCCAGTGTCACCTCAGTGTCACCCAGTGTCACCCAGTGTCACCCAGTGTCACCTCAGGGTCACCTCAGTGTCACCTCATGTGTCACCTCAGGGTCACCTCATGTGTCACCCAGTGTCACCCAGTGTCACCCAGTGTCACTTCAGTGTCACCTCAGGGTCACCCAGTGTCACCCAGTGTCACCCCAGGGACTGCCCAGCCCAGCTCAGCCACCGCCTGAGGGGACAGGGTCACTGAGTGTCACCCAGTGTCACCGAGTGTCACCTCAGTGTGACCAGCCCAGCTCGGCCACCGCCTGTGGAGACAGGGGTCACTGAGGGTCACCCAGTGTCACTGAGAGTCACCCCGGGGTCACCGAGTGTCACCAAGTGTCACCTCAGGGACTGCCCAGCCCAGCTCAGCCACCGACTGCGGAGAGAGGGATCACTGAGGGTCACCCAGTGTCACCTCAGTGTCACCTCAGTGTCACCAGCCCAGCTCGGACACCGCCTGCGTGGTCACCGAGTGTCATCTCAGTGTCACCTCAGTGTCACCTCAGTGTCACCTCAGTGTCACCAGCCCAGCTCGGACACCGCCTACAGGCAGCGGGGTCACCAAATGTCACCCCAGTGTCACCCCCTCACCGCGGGGACAGTGCCTGGGGACACCTCGGTGTCACCCCAGCCCCGTGGGGACAGTGCCTGGGGACACCTCGGTGTCACCCCAGCCCCATGGGGACAGTCCCCAATGTCACCCCAGGGTCACTGAGTGTCACCTCAGGGACTGACCAGCCCAGCTCAGCCACCGCCTGCGGGGACAGGGGTCACTGGGGGTCACCGAGTGTCACCCCCTCACCGCGGGGACAGTGCCCAGTGTCACCCCAGCGTCACCCCAGTGTCACCCCAGTCCCATAAGGACAGTCCCCAGTGCCCCCCCCCACCCCACCCCGGGGGACTCCAGTGTCCCCTCAGGGCCCCCCCACCCCTGAAGTGACCCCAGTGTCCCCAAAGGGACCCCCCGGTCCCCTCCCCTCACTGAGGGACCCCCGGGTCCTCACGGCCTCGTCCCCCTCAGGGGGTCCCCAATGTCCCCATCCCCTGTCACTGAGGGACCCCCGGGCCCTCACGGCCTTGTCCCCCTCAGGGGGTCCCCAATGTCCCCATCCCCTCCCCTCACGGGACCCCGGCCATCGCTCCCCGCCAACAACCCGCTCCTCTCCGGCCCCTCAGAGTCTCCCCGCGGCCCCAGCCCCGCTCCCGGTGCCCCGTTTCCCCCTCACCCGCAGCAGCCGCGCGTCCAGCCCCATGTGCTCGAACCCCTCCGCTTCCACGCCCGCCGCCATGTCCGCCCTCACCGCCAACAGAGGCGCTTCCGGTGGCGCCGACCACAGACACTTCCGGTCGCGCGGCCAGAGCGCCGCCGGTGCCGCTGGGAGCGTACAGCGCCCCCTGGCGGTGGAGGACTGACAACACCCCCCGATGGATTTTTGGGGGGATTCACCCCCCCAGATGGATTTTTGGGGGGATTCACCCCCCCAGATGGATTTTTGGGGGGGATTCACCCCCCCAGATGGATTTTTGGGGGGATTCACCCCCCCCGATGGATTTTTGGGGGGCTTCACCCCCCCAGGTGGATTTTTGGGGGGATTCACCCCCCACTGATGAATTTTTGGGGGGATTCACCCCCAGATGGATTTTTGGGGGGATTCACCCCCCAGATGGATTTTTGGGGGGGATTCACCCCCAGATGGATTTTTGGGGGGATTCACCCCCCCAGATGGATTTTTGGGGGGATTCACCCCCCCCAGATGGATTTTTGGGGGGGATTCACCCCCCCCAGATGGATTTTTGGGGGGATTCACCCCCCACTGATGAATTTTTGGGGGGATTCACCCCCAGATGGATTTTTGGGGGCCTCACCCCCCCCCCAG